CTGCTGGTAATGGGAGTGTTTAGACTGCCTCCCATCCTCCTGTGACTACAGTCTAGAGAGCAGCTCCAAACCCACAGGAGCTCCTAGAACACTGTCTTGAGGACTTTTGATATTAATCAGGGGAATCTTAAGAGCCTCCCAGAGGATAAGAAACTTCCAGATCTCATGTTGCCTTCTCAAGCATGAGGTATTTGAGCACTGATTGAATGAAGCCGGGTACTTTGCCACTCCATTGTTAATAGGAAATGGATTGCATTGGAGGCAATCAGCTTTTGCCATCACTAGCTGTTCCAATACCGAAGAACCTTAAGACCTTTATCTACCAACTAGAAAAAAATAACCTTGGTATCTTCCATTTTTTAAAAAATGAAAAGTTAATTAAACACAGGCTTTGCGCTAAAAAAAAAAATTATGTGACCGAATGTCACGTCAAGGAGTAAGGATAACAAAGGTAAAGTTGTCTGCCTTTTAGCCACATTATTCTGAACTATCTTCTCCAAAAGATAAGTGAGCATTGTATACTGCAATAATTTGTTAGCAAAGGAAGAAAGCTACAGACCCACTTAGTAAATTCGAGGAAGAAGTCCTAGATTAGCATCAAGAGAGATGAATTCAAATCCCTTTTCAGACACTATTCAAGTGACCATGGCCACTTGCTTGATTTCTCGGAGGCTCAGTTTCCTCAACTGTAAAATGGAAATAATAATAATAATAATAATGATAATAATAATAATAATAATAATAATAATAATAACCCCTTAGGACTTTCAAAAATATGCTCATAAGGTAGATAAATTCCAGAACTTGCAGTTCAGAGGGCCTGGTTTAGAAACTGACCTCGGCCTCTTACTATATGACCCTGGGAAAGTGATTAAACTTTTCTCTCTCAGTTTCCTTATTTGTAATTGGAAATGATAATATCTTTAGTACTTACCTCACAGGGTTGTTTTGAGGGTCAAATGACATCTATAAATATATAAGTACATGTATATATACACATGTATTGTATATATATGTATACATATATGTGCATGTTAATGTATATATACATCTATATTATATATGTGATGTATATATGCACACTTGTATATGTGTGTATGTGTTTTGCAGGCTTTAAAGTTTGAAATTAAAGTAGGGTTCTGGAAAGATCACTGGATCTTTGGATTCAGGGGATCTGGCAAATAACTGATTATGTAATACTATAGCAAGCTATTTTACTTCCTGGGACTCTGTTTCCACGTCTATAAAATGAGGCGAATAAACTATATGGACTCAATGGAAGGCTTCTTCCAGCTCTGACTATGTGCTCCTGTGTTAGTTACTATTTACCAGCAGCAGCATCATTACTATCCTGGGCTTATTCCTAAGCAATTACTGTGTGTCAGCTACATAATTTAATGGGATAGCTTCCAGACCAAAGTATGAAAATACCCACACTGTAGATTCTGCCTTATGGCTAAAACATGCTTGGAGAGTACCAGACAATTTCCAGAACCACACCTGTTCCCATCCATCTCCTGTCTCCAACTGCATTGCCTTTCCTCTTGTGCTAACAGTTTGATTGTTTGGTGGTAGGAGGTTGGGGGTGGGGTACAAAATAAAGATTATTTTCATGAATTAGATTACTATTCCGGACTTCACTCTCCTTTGGTTGTAGTATTTTTTTTATTGAAAGTGTCATTAACTTCAAGTCATTGGAAGTCTCTGCTCAAGTTAACTACGGAAAGTATCTTCAAAGGACTGTGCCGTGAGCTAAGTGTCTAGGCATTGAAGCATACTTTCTTGAATTGTACAAAGAGACTTCTAATGTCTGTAGTACTTACTTCATAGGGTTAGTGTGAAGATCAAAGGAGATGGTATATGTAAAGTGTTTCACAAACTTGAGAGTATTGTAAAATGTCAGCTATTATATATTCATAAGCCTTAACATGAGCCTGTTTCTGAGATTATTTGGAGGAAGAATTTCCAGTTTTCTTCTCGAGGCAACAACATCTATTGACTCACTCTAGGTATTTGCATGGCAAGATCATATTTCACATACCTTAGATGGTGAGTTCCTACCCTCCTACCACTACTGAAAATCATTTGCCATTTTCAGTATTTTACAGAATATTAGAATTAGAAGAGAACTCAGAGTTCGTCTAGTTAAGTGTCCCTCCCAAATCAGAGACATTCATACCAAGGGTAAGCCATCTCAACCTGTGTTGAAAGTTCTCTGGGGAAGAGAAATGACTACCTTCTAAAGCATCTCATGGTACTTTGGTTTGGTTCAAATTGTGAGGCAGGGTTTTTTTTTGTTTGTTTGTTTGTTAGTTTGTTTCCCCTTGTATTTTACAAAAAAAAAAAATCTACCTGGCAGTAACTTTAACATCCTACTCCTGGCCCTCCGAGACCAAGGAGAGCCATCTAGCACCTCTTTGAATTTACAGACTTAGCTAGCAGGTTACCCCTGAACCTTCCCTTCCTCAGGCTAATCATTCCCAGTACAATTGAATGAAAATCCTTTTTTTTTTTTGGGGGGGGGAGTGAAGCAATTGTTATTAAGTGACTTGCCCAGGGTCACACAGCTGGTAAATGTTAAGTATCTGGTCTGAGGCTGGATTTGAATTCAGGTCCTCCTGATGCCAGGGCCAGTGCTCTATCCATTATGCCACTTAGCTGTCCCTTGAATGAAAATCCTTGAATTCTTTTGATAGATTCTAATATGGTAAACACCTAAGTCTTCTCATTGTCCTTATCATCCTTTTCTAGAAGGCTCCAAGTTAGCAATTTCTATCACAATAATAAGGGCAGCTAGGTGTCAGTGGATAGAGTGCTGCCCCTGGAGTCAGGAGGACCTGAGTTCAAATCCAGCCCCAGACACTTATTAACTATGTTACCCTGAAGTCACTAAATATGTTTGCCTCAGTGTCCTCATCTGTAAAATAAGCTGGAGAAGGAAACACCAGTGTCTTGGCCAAGAAAACCCCAAATGGGGTCACAAAGAACTGGACACAAATAAAACAACTAAACAACAACAACTAATGATAATAATAATTATTATTATTTCTACAGAGTTTAATAGCTTAAAACTTGACTAAAACTTTTGGGATACCTTGTATAATATTTTAAGGTCTGCAAAGCATCATACATATATTACCTTATTTGATCTTCTCAACAAATAGAATATTTCAGATGTAGTTTGATCAGAGCACATTACAGCAGTATAGTCTCTATTACTCTGAACAAGAGTTTCTTAACCTGGACCTACAAAGGGTGCACGGATAGATTCCAGGGTGTCTATGAAGTTGATTACATCTTTCATTTTCACTAACCTTTTATTTCATTTGTAATTTATTTTGTGCATTTAAAAATATGATTCTGAGAAAGAGTTCATACATTGGTTTTGCCAGACTACCACATGGGGTGGAAATCCATGACATGAAAAAGGGAGAGCCCTTCTTCTGAACACTCTAGTTCGATGATGCAGCTAAAACTCCTGCTAGCCGTATCATATTCTTCACTCATTGAACATGCCATTTCCCCAATACCCTCATTGTTTCCCCATGAACAATTGTTGAACCAAGTCTCTCCCATCCTATACTTGAGCAATTGATTTGACCCAAAAAATACTGAAGAAAATAATACCTTAAGAAATAGCCTAACCCAAATGGCAAAAGAGGTCCAAAAATGCCTTCAAAAGCAAAATTGGCCAAATGGAAAAGGAAGTCCAAAAGCTCACTGAAGAGAGTATTTCCTTAAAAATTAGAATGAAGCAAATGGAAGCTGACGACTTTATGAGAAATCAAGAAATTGTAAAACAAAACCAAAAGAATGAAAAAATAGAAGACAATGTGAAATATCTCATTGGAAAAACAACTGATCTGGAAAATAGATCCAGGAGAGAGAATTTTAAGCAATATTAAGCAATTAATTATTTACATTGACTGTTGGTCATAGTCCTTAGAACATAATAAGTGGGGGGTTTTGAGATTTTTTTGCAAGTAATTTTTTTCACTTTTTTTATTAATTTATTTTATCAACAATCACTTCCATAAGGTTTTGAGTTTTAAATTTTTCTCCCCTCCCTCCCCACCTCCCTCCCTAAGACAGCACACAATCTGATATAGGTATACATATACATTCTTAATAAACATATTTTCACATTGGTGATGTTGTAACTAAGAATTAGAACCAATAGGAGGAACCTATTTATTAACCTGTTGGACTTGGGACACTTTTCCCTGCTAAATTGCATCCATTAGTTTGGAAAAGGCAGTGGGATAGAATAGATAAAGGATCATATTTGAAGTTAAGATGAAATAATTTGCAATCCCATTTCTTATATTCACTGACTGTGGAATCATGGGCAAGGGAATCTCTCTTACTAAGCTTGTCTCCTCCTCTGTAAGATGAGAAAAATAAAAACTCCACCACCTACCTAATAAGGGTTATGGCGTGTGTGTGTGTGTGTGTGTGTGTGCGCATGTATATGTGTGCATGCATGCATGTGTGTGTGCATTTGCGTGTGTGTGCACTTGTGTGTATTCATAAGGCTCAAACAAGATACTATATGCAAACTGCCTTGCAGACTTGGAAAAATTCTTTAAATGCCAGTTATTATTGTGAGATATGCAGTCCATTATTTCAGCTTTCTAAAATCTCTTAGGTACCTAATTCTGCCATCCAGCCTTTAGCTATTCTTCTCAACACTATGTCATACACACACTTAAGTTGTTGGGGGGTTTTTTTCAAATCGATACAAACATCAATTCAGGGATGGCAACAGATCCCTAGGCCCCTCCACTAGAGACCTCCAAGTTCTTTCAAGCTACCTGCAAAAATAAATTAGTAGGAGAGAAATGACCCTGTTTCTTCCATTTTCGAAGAGGCCCTCTTTGTCCCTCCCTGCTAAGTTCTGTCTGGGTCCTAGCCTGCCTGGCTCCGTCTGGATCCCAACCTGTCAGGTTCTCTCTGGATCTGTCCCTGACAGGAGTTAATTGTTCCCCGCTCTTCCGCAGATGTGAACGAATGCGCCATTGACAATGGTGGCTGTCAGGAGCAGTGCTGTAATACACTTGGCAGCTACTACTGCAAATGCCAAGCTGGCCAGAAACTGAAAGAAGATGGAAAAGGCTGCAAAGGTAACAACACTCAGTTCTGCCTGCTTGCTGATAAGCCAGTGGAGAACATGTTTCTAATGCAGACACGGCAGGTTGGGAGTGGGCTGGGGAGGGGAGAGCTGGAGCGTGCCTCTAATCCCGATCCAGTTGGAGTACCTCTGCTCCATGTTGTCAAGGGTGCAGATCTTCTTCTCATGTCTAGATTATAAAATTGTAACCCTAAGAACACTTCAAACGGCTTATTATGAGAAACATATGATTAGAGTCGGGCTTGGTTGTGTCATGTACTGATTACAGAATTTCAATCGTGCATTTAATTCCCTCAGTAAAGTGCCTGTTTTCTGAAAGTGCTTCACTTAGTTCTAAGGTGAAAATAATGCTTATGATAAAATACTCATAGATGTCAAGTCTGGATTATAAGGGTACAAAATTAACCAAAGGGAGGAGGGGAAAGATTCTCTCGCTTGAAGCTGCCTCTGCCAATAGCAATGCGTCCCCTAAGCTAACTCTCACCAAACCTCACTGGCATCCTCCTGTTTCCTAAGCCTCTCTCTCCCTTTCCTATCTAAGTTTGGTTGTTGGCTACCCATAAGGAAGAAAGTGGGATGGCCCTTAATTCCTCCTCTCTTGGACTTCTCTAAGGGGGGGATGTCTATAGTGATGCCCTTCCCTCCCCCCCAAAAAAACCCTCTAGTAAACAGAGTCTCTGAGAGCTCTGGATTAGCTGCCATCCCCACCCCCACCCCCCAAGGGCAGCATCAGAGCATCTTTGTGTGTTTAGGTCTGGCTGGACAGGGAAGCCATGCTAGCAGCCTGGGGCAGGTGCAGATAATTACACCCCTAGGGGGATAATTAAGGGTATGTGCTAGTGACTGTCAAAGCTGCCACCTTATTTCTAGTTGGACTTGAGCAATTATCACAGCATTGGGGTACCATGTCTGGACAGCAGCGTGAAACAGGGCTCTGGTCATTAGGTGGTAGCAAGTACGTTGATGAGCTGTTTCCAGGATTCCTTCTGCTTTCTGTTCTGCACAGATCCTTGAAGTTTGCTCCTCACAATGTCACTTGTTAAAATAGACCATGCAGGCACTTTCTGTTTCCATTGGAAGCTCATGCTGACACAGTGAACTTCCAGTCACAATGGCAATGCCATTTGTCTCCGATAGCATAGCAGGTTGCCCTGGAATCCTCAAGAAGAAGAGGGGGGGTTTCCCTTGTCTGTGTATGCCAGGGAGTTCCAGGGATGATCTGAGAACTGGGTTCATGACAAATAAATCACTGTGGGAAATGTCATCAGGAAAATTTGGCCCAAGACTCAAGGTGGGTTGATCTGAGAATGTCATCTAAGGCATTTCCTTCCCCTTCATTGTAAAGAAAAGAACTCCAACAGGGACATGAATGGAATCCTCTCCTTCCTCAGCTATACCTCCTATCTTCCTTGACTTCCTTCAAGTCCAAGCTCTTCTGCAGGAAGCTTTTCCCAATCCCTCTTCATTGTAGTGCCTTCCCTCTGGTGACTATCTCCAATTTATACCGTATATTTGTATATAGTTATTTGCACGTTGTCTCTCCCATTAGACTGTGAGTTTCTGGAAAGCAAGGACTGTCTTGGGCTAGCTTTGAATCCCCAAAGCTTAACAGAATGCAGCTAGTAAATTCATAGTAAGTACACAGTAGGTAATTAACACAGTTGTTGACTGACTGACATCTGATACAGATGGTATCACCGGGTTGACGATACCTAACTCCCTAGCACATTGCTCTCCTTTACATGATCCTGGTTCCAGCCAGACGAGCCTACAGTCTGGGTCCCCTATGTGACATCCCATCATGCATCAACTGGCCTTTAGGTAGTCTGTGTCCCATGACTGGACTACACTACCCCTCACCCCTAGCTCAGAGAATCAGAGGCTCATCTTGCTAGAGTGAACAGAGTTTGTTCAATCCCCTCATTTTACAGGCTTCCAAACTGGAAGCAACTGGTCTGCAACACAGGTATAAGCCTCAGAAGTGGGATGTGACCCTGAGTCCAATGACTTGAGTCCATAGTCTTTTCACTGTAACATTCTTCCAGAAAAATTCTTAGACCCGTTCCAAGATTGGTTTATTTCCCCAGCAATTAGTGCCCCACCCCTGAATCATTTCTATTTACTTTGTATAGATTTGATATTTGCTTATCTGTGTCCATATTTGTTTCCCCTATATTCAATCAATAAACATTTATTAAGTACCTACTATATGGCAGGCACTATGCTAAGTTCTAGATAAATAAATAAGTAAAAATATAAATAATATAAAAATACAAAATAAAAATATAAAAATAAGCAAAAAATATAAAATGAATGAATGAATAGAATGTGAAGTTCCCTGAAGGCAGGAGATGCATGATTTTATATGCACAATGCCCAGCACATAGTAGGTGTCTAATAAATACGTGATGAATAAATTAATGAATCATTGGATTTAGAGGCAGGACTTTAAGAGAGGAGTTAATCCAACCTCTTCTTTTTACAGAGGAAGAAATTGAGGCTTAAACAGCTTAATTAATTGGCCCAAGGCACAAAAGTAGTAAACAGCAGAGATGGGATTTGAACCCAGGTCCTTTGACTGTTGGCCCAGTACAGCATCCACTTTACACAAGCTCAATTTTTTTCTTTCAGGCTACCCCATTGGTGTTGACTATCCCTGGCTGTCTTTGTTATGGATGATACTAAAACGTGGTCTCCTTGACTTCGTTTGATTTGTGTCATGTCATCATTCCTTTTGAAAACATTTCCCCTCAGTGGCGTCATGGGATCTCATCCCTCCCTTTCTTTCAGAGCTCTGTCCTAAGGAATGTCATTGGCCAGTAGAGAACTTAGCAGGTGGCTCAGACTAGTAGCCTTGAATTATGGCCCAATTGTTCAGAATAGAGATGGCTCAGATCTGTGAGTAGGATCCGGGAGATCCAGGGGAAAGGTCTGTCCAGGCATGCAAGAGGAAGGAGCTGTCAATAAGTCAGGTCTTTGCATCACTAGGCATAACATCCAGGGGATTTGTGGCTCCTCCCACAAGGAGACTAAGAGCAATTAGCTTCCTTTTTCCCTAAAAACACAAATTTTATTTTGTTTTGTTTTCCCATTCCTAACACAAAATAATTTAGGCCTTAAAGAACCTAGATCTTTTAGAAGAGTCAGTATGCCTAAGAGCTTCAGTACTTAATTATCCATCTGTAAAATGAGTGAGTTGGATTAAAGTCTCTTAGGACCCTTCTAATTCCAAAATCTTTGAATTTTGTGATGGTGCTATTTGGTCCATTAGTCAGATTTTGGACTCTTCCAGGGGTTTTGAGCTCTCCAAGGTCTGTTTCCTAAAGAAGGGGAGGCCATGGGTTCATCTTCCTCAGACATCTTCCAAGACTCATCCTTCCCTAAGGAAGGGTCAGGGATCCTCAAAGTCAACAGAAAAAGTGAAACCTATCCGGAGCCGCATCTTAGGGATGAGCTTCAGGCATTCCCTTGGTCGGGAAAGAACAGTGTTGAGTTGTCCTGCCTTTAGCATTGGTGCGCCCCAGTCAGATCAATAGAGCCTGGCAAGAATTAAGACACAACCTGAAGTTGAGCTTCAGGGATTCCCTTAGTCAGGAAAGAACAGGTATTTCATGTTGGGTTGTCCTGCCCTTAGCATTGCTGCGCCCCAGTCAGATCAATAGAGCCCGGTGAGTGACACAATGAGTGACAAAGAAGGGGAGTGAAAGGTCAAGTGAGTCTCCAAGAAGAAGTGGCTTTTCCTCCACCATCCCTGAGTGGTGGTGTGTGCAGTGCTGAATGTCTTACAGCCAGGGAGAGCATTCTGTAGCTCTAAATGAATGAGTGTGTGTGTGTGTGTGTGTGTGTGTGTGTGTGTGTGTGTGTGCGTGTGTGCATGTGGTTGGGGGTGTGTAGATGGGTGTGATGGGAGTAGGTGTATGGGTAGGCAGGTGTTGGATATGGAGGGGTCATATGGAAGGATGGGTGAGTCCGTATGTACATAGATGGGTGAGTGTGTGGTGGAGTGTGAGGGTGAGTGTAGGGGGGTAGGTAGGTGTGAGCAGGTGTATGGGGTTTGTTGGGTGAGTCTCTGTGGGTATATGGGTGAGTAGAAAGGGTGGGTGTATATATGCATATGGCTGGGTAAGTGTGTGTGTGTGTGTGTGTGTGTGTGTGTGTGTGTGTATGTGTGTGTGTGTGTATGGGGGTGGTGAGGTAGTATACATGCGCATATATGTTTGGGTCAGTGTGGACATGGGTGTGGTGTGTGTTCTGCATTTCTCCTGTAGCTAGTTCATGGTCTGGCCCAGTGACCCCTCTGGAAGCATAGACCCAGAGCAGATTTGTGCTGTGATAACAGAACCATGACATTTGGCTTGAGAGTTTCCCATCAGATCCTTGAAATGGAGACGGGGAGGGGGAGAGATGACCCTGCAGTGGGTCCCTTGGCACTAGTGTAGCACCTTCCTACGTGTCTTTGCCTGACTTTGGGTAGAGTGAGTGGTGATGTCGTTCCTGGTCTTTGTCAATTGATTTAGAAAAGTAACTGTCATAGCCTTATTCCATGCCCACTGTGACAGATTAAGGGCAAGATCATGAAGGTGCTGGAACTGTTGGAACGCAAATATCATTCTAAGAACAAACTACCAGGCAAAAAACCAAAAAAAACATGTTGGCAAAGCAGGAAATGGGTCCCGGCCATGGCCCCCCAGCGCTGTCTTCTTGATGCAGACAACTGTCTCTTTTCCCTCACCAGGTTGATATCAACCCATGCTGCTTGTTTCAGCTGGGGGGGGAGGGGGTACCCCTGTTTAAAATATAACATAGATTTGTTTATTAATATTTTATATATTTTCATGTACTGTATTTATATGTTTACATATAATTTATTTGTGAATGTATATGTGTATGTGTGTCTCTTCATTGGTTCATTTCCTCATCAATTTCAAAAAAAAAAGGAAATGAATTTAGGGAGCCTGGGCCCTGAAGACAGCAAGCAGTTTTCTCAACATT